TCGAGATGATATTTCTTTCTACATTTACCGCTGGCACATTCCATGAAAGAGTTCTTTACTGCAGAGGTACAAGCACCACAATTGCTCGCCATATTTGCTAGGTACGTTCGCAATAATTCAATATCTAGGAATAAAATTTCTAATTCCAAGCTCTACTCACTGTTGAATTCGGTTTTAAGTGTGCGACAGAGACGAAATATTTCTTTTTCGCAGTCCGTCTCCTTTACTCGAGGTGAAGAGGAGCTTACCTCAGCGCATTCGGATTACGCGATCTACACTCGCGAACTTATTTTGTTTAGAACAGTTCACACAACTTTAGTTATTATAACACTTATTGCCAATGCACATTATGAGTCAAAATTGCATTCCTGCATAATTATTTTTTACACCAATTTTTGGGTAAAATAACAAAAAACACGTCTACACTGACCGCGTTACGTCGCGTCAAATAATAATCTACTCTTATGTAGATATAGCTCATTGTCCTCATCCATTTGATGGGAGAAGTAGTAAGAAGCTGTTCGAGATGATGTTCTAAAGTAATAAAATGATTGTATACTTCACAGTCTCTCTTACTGTAAAACCAATGAGGTTACAGTCGTAAACAAGTCAATATTATAAAAAAAAATACGAAAACATAAAAAATCTACGTATAAGATTTTTCATCAAAAAACATCATTCAATTTACTTCACTTTGATGTGGAAAATATCATAAAACGTGTTTCTATTACCAACCTACGTAGGTATAAATTAACGATTCATCTCTTGCTTGAATTAGAATTTCCCTAGTTTATGTCTCATGGGAAATTTTATATATTAACACTGTTATGGGTCCCAGTTACCAGAAGATCAAAGGACTGTAGGAAGTACAGCTACATCAATAAAAAATCTATATTTATTATACACTAGCTGATTCGGTCAACTTTGTACCATCTCAAATATATTTTTCTCACCTAAACCTTCCCTGGACTTCCAGGAACAGACCAAAATTAGTCAAATAGGTCTAGTCGCTCTCGAGTTTTATCGAGACTGACGAACAGCAATTGATTTTTATATATAGCCCTTTTAGACGTAGGAGAGCCATGCTTCTTGATTGGGCTGGCTCGACCGACGTGAGACCACGGCCTTGCAGAAAACCGCTGTGAAACAACTACAGCGTTGTGTGAATGAGGTTACTGGTGATCCAATCTGATCACAATCAAAGCCCGGCTCCTTGACTCCTTGACTTACAACTCCTCCAGTGTGATGACGTTCAATAGTGTCTTATATATACACCAGCGGACCCGACAGACGTTGTCCTGCATATCTACTTGAATGTATAAGCAAAAATTATTTTAAATTAGTTCAGCTGTTTAGGATGAATCGCCACCTAAACATCGACTGAAGCGCCATCTGCCGGGCTGATTTGTGAATCTAAACCATTCCTAGATTTCCTTGAACACACACAAAAAATTTCATCAAAATCGGTCCAGTCGTTAGAGAGAAGTTCAGTGACATACACACTCACAGAAGAATTATATATATAAGTATATTAGTCTAATCTATTCTATTTTATTTTTATTTTTAATTATGTTATGTGTGTTTTGCGCAAAAATAAATGGTTTTTCTTTCTTTCTTCTTCTTTCTAATCGAAATAAGTTATTTGAGTTTTGACTATTTTGGTTTTGATCACATCTTACAAACTTACCACACAGCAGACCCACATTTTAATGTTTTATATAGTAAATACTGTTTTTTTTTACATGGGAATTGAACCCGAGTCAATAACTGCAGTCAAGATGGCGTAGGAGCAGGAAACAAGGAAATTACGTAGAACAACTTAAAGTAATCAAATTTTATTGTCAATCATTTTATTTACAGTAAACTCTAGCTACAGTATGTTACAATAATGATAATATTCTTAAAGGCCTACACATTACAACATGTTGTATAGGTAAATTATCCGGGCAAAGTTCACAATGACCAAGGAAATTGGAACACCATTTATAATAAACAAACACCATTTACCACAGACTTAAAATTTTAATTAAACAGTTCTACATCTTCTACAGTTATTTGAGGATTCTATTGAGTCTTTAAGGCCATTTGAATTAATTCAAATATCAAAAACAGAACGACTGGACTGGATTTTCATGATCTTGTCTCCACTCTTTATGGTTAAAGATGGGAAAACTCTTGAATAGGGCATAAAATTATGTTAAAATTATTAAATTAATGTAGGTGAAGCCAGTAGTGTATTTAGTAGTTTGTCATAGTAATCAATTGATATAATATTAGCTGTTTAATTAAGATTTCACATATCCTCATGAGGGTGATACTGTCGTATATGATAAAAACCTTCGTAACAAAATAAAGAAAAAAAAATCACATGGTACCTATTTCAAATCAATATATATACAATTATATACGACCTATATTTACATGAATGCTGGGAATTAATACCGTATCCAAAATTTTACCGTGACTAGGACCAACAAAAGAAAACAATATATATATACATATATGTCTATTGTTTTACATTAGTCTTTCGAACAGGCATAAAAAACGATCATCTATAAATGTACATGTATGTTAGTCGAATCATTCCTGTAGTCTATATAAACTTGAATCGAAAATAATTTACCAACACAACATAATTTGTCTAGGCCCACTAATAGAAATTGAAAGCTCATACATTTTGCAAAATGCATTATAATATAATACTAATAAAGTTTTATTTACATTGACAGCATATCTGCTGTGTATCGGGATGAGTTTGTTTGACGCACATTTTTGATAGAAACCGGATAGTCGCTGGTTATTTTGCGAAGCAACCGGTCAATATTATTAAATGCAGTTCGAAACGATGTTGTTACTAATATAACATCCCTTTGTGAATACCCGCAGGTTAGATAGTATAATTATAGGTAATTAATATATTTAATGTTATATTTCTCCAGTTATATTATGAGTCCCCATATAACACGGGATGAGATATAGCTATGCCATCGGATATTTTCATACTATTACTGAGAATTCCAAAATTCGAAAATCCCATAATTACTCGTGAATCGACTCGAGCGACACATATACACTACGAATATATCTCAATACAATTTATATATAAATATAAGGGGAAGTACATCAATTACTAAGGTAGGTTTATATAATATTTTTTTCACAAATTATTAGTAAAAATAGCACATAAGGTGTTACAATACATTTTTTTTTATAATAAAAAGGCACTGTTTCCAATCGTAATCCAAAAGATGTAAAGATTAATAGGAGTAGTAAACAACTTTATGGCGTTCAGTCATGGTGTTTTAGGATATAAGTAACGATATTTTTATAAATGGGACTTTATGATTAAATTGTGGATATTATTGAAAATAACTAGGTGATTATAAAATTGCTGTCGTGAGCATTTCCCTTAATGCTTTAAACTTTTTTCGCGATATTAGAAGTTAATAAAAGTACATAGAAGTTCATGAAAGTAGTATATTAAGAGATAATTCAAATTCTTTATTAATTGTATCTCACATAGATATATATATGTATGTATCGAGTAGTAATCGGTATGGTTTTAAGTCTTATTGCAGCATTACAGTACTGGATTATTGAAGAAAAATTAAAGAATAAAACCCTTTTTCTGCTGCTCGTGCGTTTTTTTTTAGAGAAACTTCAACCGACAGCAATTTAACAAACATGGTAATACACGTGGCTAAATGGACTATTACATATGTATATTGAATACAAGAACTACTACAGATAATACACAAACATGTATAATATAGTTCACTTACAATATAGAATACAACATCAAATCCATAAGTGCATTTGCATCAGTTATTATAATGTACATTTTATACAACTATTATATATTTTATACAAAGGATATATAGTATTTTGAAGGTATAGAAGTTAGCTGCCATTTTGGTTTTTCCACAATATACAAGGTGTTGTTTTAAAGCCGCGTCATTTTCTAGGAGGTAACTCGGCTATCGATTCTGAGTCCGAAACAACAAAATAAATTGTAGGTAAATATTTATCATTTTTCTTTAAATTAGGGAAATCCGTAAGTGCGAACTACACGCCGCCGTCTTGTAACTAGCTTTATAAAACGGCTTAACACACACAAACTCAAACAGATAATTGATATTATTCCTAATTTCATAAAAAATCCAATAGATAAAAACACATTGCTGTCGTTTATTCTGAAATACTGTCGAACTTAAACGATTAATCATAGCCACATTTTTAAGTATTGGCCCGAATTTTTTTTACATTGAACCTTTATGACTTCTGTGACATGCCCCCGAGAAATGACACGGATTCAAAACTACACCTTGTAGAGGTATATATGTTCAGCCAAATCTGATTATGATAGACTGAGTTTCTTACCCGGGAAAAAAGTATATTACCCACTTTACCCGGTTTTATTACGGGTCAAAGTGTTTGTTTCATATTTTTTGTGTATCAGTTTTCATTTTAATTCAATTTGGTAAATTAATCGACTGTAATTTAATGGCGAAACTTTTTTCTTACAATTTAGGGGTTATAAATATTTTTGCTTAGGATGAATCAGTTTTGGTGGGGATGGAAGGAATAATGTGGACCCTGGATCAATATGAATTTGAACACAAATGAATTAAAGGTTAATTCAGTTAGATGTAAGTATTTTATTAGATACGCAATTTTGTAGAAAATTCTAATTAAATTCAGAGTACGCTGGAGGCATCATTTAATATTAGGATCGATATTTCATTAAAAAAACATCTTCGAACTTTAAATGGCAACCCTTCAGTAATCATTTTTTTCTTAGATTTATTTTTGGGTGAATGACAACAGGGTAAAGACAGATAGAACTATAAACACGCCATAATAATATTACATTACTAATATTTCTTGATGAACTACACGAGTAGGTATATTGGTGTATTTCAGATACTATGTATAATATATTATTCTATGTATAATATAATTATGCTAAGTAACAATTGTTATAGTAATTAAATATTATGTAAGTACGCATGGTCCAATAATATTAGTATATTATTATTTTACAATATTTTTTATCTACATGATATAATATATCACTTACGCTTTACATATTGCTGATACGTCATTTTAATGATATATTAAAAGTATTTTGGGAAAATACTGTACGTCTCACTTATGTATATATGTTACCTAACTTAAATATAATACTTACATAAATTTATTAAATTCTCTCAAAATTGGCACATAACAACTAGTTAATACCAATTTTATATTTGGCATTTTATTTTTTTGGGTTGGCAACACGGTTAGTTATGTCATCTGATAGACCATAGACTGGGAGAAAACGCGCGAAAGCGTTGTTGTTATACATGGCACTGATTTGACAATTTCGGGGTTGTTAACGTTACCTATATAATAATGTGTTTTGTTACATTGAATATTTGCATCAGTGGCTATAACTAGCCGTGTTATTTTAACATTTAAGTACAAACAAACAATATCTAATCTTATCCACTGAACTATCACTTCCAAACGCACGCAGAAGTCCCAATGTCTTTAGACGAACACTGGTCCGTCATTTTCCACTCACAGGACATGAAGATTCTCACAGTTCTTGAATTTTGAATCTTCCTTGCCGAAAATCCAGGTGAACATTTGTCTGGCCTTCATACTGGCTCGAACAACTCCTCGGGATTTGTACCAGTGAGCTGGCGAGGATTCCCTTCCACCTTCAGCTGTGTACTGCTGCTTTTTTAGCCGGATCTGGTTGAGGATCCCGACCAGGAGCTCGTCTACGTTGTGGTTGATTCCGACTGAGACTTCTATGAATTTTGCTTTGTAAGTGCACGCCAGGCATTTGCCGTCTGTCAAAGAAAGTAACTGGTTAAAAATAAAATAACAAAAAATATATTGCATAAAACACCTTAATGCATACATCGGTAGTTCAGTTACTTTTAGTATGTTTGTTGTGTTTTGTGTTGGAGAATTGTTATGTAGGTTAAAAAAGCTTTAGGAATTCATTGGATTTGTATTGGTTTCTGGATTTATGCCAGAAATGCTGAATGAATGGCTACAAAGTAGCACTTTTATATATCGCTATAAATATAAAACTAAATATGTTTGACATTTCCTAATTGACTCTGAGAAGAAACATTGAAAGTAACTTAGTGGTCATAGCCTCTTTTAAAGTCCAAGAAACTGTAAAAAAGTAGAAAAATATTGGAAGAAAAAAGGTGTAGATTTATTTAAACAAAACAACAAATTAGTTAAGTGTAGGAGAGCCATGCTTCGGCACGAATGGGCCGGCTCGACCGGGGTGATACCTCGGCCTCACAGAAAACCGACGTGAAACAACGCTTGCGTTGTGTTTCGTCGTGTGAGTGAGGTTACCGGAGGCCCAATTACCCCCCCCCTCTCTAGTCCCCGTCTCCCGAATCCCCGAATCCTCCACAATCCTCAAATTCCCAATTCCCAATTCCTCGGGAACGCACTTGTAACGCCTTGGTGTTTCGAGTGGCCATGGGCGGCGCCGATTGCTTGCCATCAGGTGATCCGTCTGATCGTTTACCGGCTTATGCTATAAAAAAAAACTAAATTCAAAAGTAAAGACTTATTACTTCATAATCTGCTAATGAATATTTGTTTAGTCTCATAAAACTTTTGTATTTGAGAGTATGGAGAAGAACAGGCTCATGTGAGCGTATGTAAGTTTATAATAAATTCAGGTGGACTTTTGGGGCTACGGGTGAATAGAGTGGAGACTCTAGGTGGGAAGACAGTGGCACAGTGGTCACGTGCCGCCGTAAACAGCGAGGCTTGAAGAAGACCGTCTCTGCAGGGATGGTTGTAACAGGCATTGGCCGTGGAGGCTCTGGAGCAGGTTTCTTTTAGAGGACCCAGTGCCTCCATACAGGTGTTGACGGTGGCCACCAGGATGGTTTTAGTAAATTAGAAATCCCACACTCCCTAGTCTTTTATCCCCAAAAAGATAGGCGCCTTTTGAAGGTTTCCCATCGTCATGAAAAAAGGTTTATATTAGATTCCACTAATAACATTCGACTAGACCAATGAAGGCTTGCTTTTATTAAGTTAATGACTTACTTATATACAATCAGTAATGTACAGAAATGTATAAATAATAAGATTACTTGGATAAAGTCATCTTGAGACGAAGCACTCCGTCTCAAGGGAAATCAGTTATAACGGAACATAATTATGTTGATACTGTCCTATACAAAAAAATGTCTACGTGGACACTGGATTGGGTATCGTGATATACATATAGTATTTTTTTTTACATAACATAACATCACGCCGTTTAAGGTAGGCAGAGGTGCACGTTACGCCACTTAATATCGCTGTACAATGTAACACCCACTTTTCACTATTTATATTACAAGTTCAATGTAATCAAGGCTTATCCCCAAGCCTATTGTGATATACCGGGCACAAATCTAGACTCCGTGCAGTAGCACAGAGTCTGGATTTGTGCTATAAGGTGCTATAACGTAGTAACCTACTGAGATCTTTTTAAAAACCCAGTAATACTTTGCCCGACCCGGGAATCGAACCACACCCTTTGGCCGGCAGTCACACTTGCGATCACTCGGCCAATGAGGCAGTCATAAGTTTTTTCTAAGCCTATTTAATATTATAAATGCAAAGTTTATGAGAGTATATTTATGTTTGTTATTATTTCATGCAGAAACCATTAAAAGGAATCTGAATACATTTATAGCTCGAGAATTTTAATAAAAATCTTATCCAAGTAACGGAACTGTTTAACTTAAAATAAGTAATGTAGAGCGACAAAAACATTTCACCTTGTGTCGAAACGGCTCGACTTCTAGCCAGGTCGATCTTGTTAGCCACTAGGATGGCTGGTCGTGCTCTAAGCATGTCGCAGTCGAGCAGCCTAGCCAGCTCCTGTTCAGCTTTCTGGAAGGAAGCCTTGTCCACCACGGAGTAGATTACCACGAAGGCATCAGGTGGCTCCGAGCGCTCGATCTCCTCCTGGACAAGTTTGAAAATATTACAAGGAAAAACAGCTTCATCGTCTGTGGGTAGTTGGTGCTGATTGCTTAGCTTTTTTTTTTAAGGGGGCAAAATCATCGAGTGACTGCTCCCGCCTGGGTGAGGCGGGAGGGAGTGTCAGACTCTTACTGACTAAAAACCACCCCGTTCCTTCTCCTGCACATCGAGCCGGAGCCCCGGTTACCCGTTAGGTTCTCCGCGACTCCGAATCGGCATCGGCCCTATTGGGCCCCATCTGTGGTGGTCTGATGGCTCTTTGAGGCGCGCGCGGAACGTGACGCGCCGTACGCTCGGGTGATTGCTTAGCATAAGGTCATTCGACTGCTCGTTTGCCGCTTTTCTCATGAAATTAAAGAGTTTTTCAATGTGGGAATATGACCTACGATAAGGAGCACATCAGTCGATTGCCTATGGCTACTGCGCCAAGCGAGCAATCGAAAAAAAAAAGTTTATGTTTTTACCTTTGTCGTCGTGCAGTTAACGAAGTAAAGCTCAGATTCTTCACCATTCAGCATAATAGACACCTTCTGCTCCGTGCTGTCCAAATCTGGAAGAACCAAAAAATGTGATTGGATATCTCCATTATAATCTAGATCTTATGATCATGTGACTAATTGAGCCACAAAAGCTTCATTAATTATTTTGCACGGTGAACTCGTGGATAAGGTTCTGGACATACGGACCGCATTTCAACTGCAAACAATGGCAAATTGCAGTTTGATCGCAGGCGTGGCATTACTGCAATTGAATCGCAAACCAAACGTTTACTCCGTTTGCAGTTCTATTGCAGTTATGACCAAACGGTTGTAAACCAAACTAGCAGTCCGATTGCAGTCCTATTGCAGTCGTGTCAACTGCTTTCAAACTGCATCCGAACTGCAATTTGCAGTTGAAATGCGGTTCGTGTGTTTAGAAAATAATATATAAATAATCCATTTATGTATACGCATGTTTTACAAATAAACAATCTTTCTTTCTTTCTTTCTTTCTTTCTAGAGCCTTATTATTTGACGAGGTAACTAGTGTCAATCCACACTAGGGGTTAATAATCATGAGTGTCCATGGTGCGACAAACGAATGCGTTGCCGGCCTTTAAAGAAGGTTACCAATAGTTCGAATGTATTTGTTTTCCATTTCCCAGTCGGGTTACGGTGAAACCAATTATTATTGCCTGCAAATATATTTTTCTTTTCTTGACATTGTTATTATTGTTTGTATTGAATTTGTAAACCTTAATTAATGCTTGCTATTAAATTAAATTAACAGCTTTTTCACCATATTTTGCATGCCAATAAACGGGCAAAATGTATACGGCTACTGTATTATATCAGCAAAAACCTATTTGTAAACACTTACATTTTATGCAAATAAATGATTCGATTTGATTTGATCTGATCTTTTTTGAAGTCGTTACAAATAAATATTTTCATTTTCATTTTCAAGTCGGTTAATTAATGTAAAGAACCTTTTCTTAAGTGTGACAAACACTTTTCAAAAAACCGCTTCAAAATCGATATAGCCAATCGTGAGATGATCACGCACAATCATACATACATACTACATACAGGTCGAACTGAAAATGTCCTTTTTTGAAGTCGGTTAAAAATAGTCTCCGCCCTACATTACCAGAAGGTAGTAAAAGGTGAGACATTATGTCATATAGAAAGAAAGAAAGAAAAACCATTTATTTTGCTACGACACACAACAAGAATTTAGAAACACCGAAAAAAAGCCCCTGGTGCGTCGCAGCGCAAAAGGCTGGAGCTCAACTTAATACTGTGGACCGGGCACAGAGGCTCGAGCCCACGGCGCTCATTTTCAGCACCAGCCCGTTATAATACGTACTAGCTAAACATCTACATTAACGCTGCTCGGAGTCCAGCATGATGTATAATATAGTAAATTAATTTAAAAGTGAAAATAAAATCAACCGCTATGATTTCTGCCAAAAATCTAAATAAATGGATAAAAAATAAATAATAAAAATAATAACAAGTACAACATTACATTACACATACATATTAATAACAATAGCACATATTGAAAATAAATATAATTACATTCAAAAACAATTATGTTGTGCGCATCACCATAGACAGTGAGTATGTTATGTTATAAATGCTATGTTATAATAATATGTTATGTTATAAAATCAATGTATATATCCTTTCGCGCGCCTCTCGTACACACAGGTAAATATTTTAATAGAAAAGCGAATTAACTATTCTGTTCAATCAAATGAAGAACGGATTGCAAACTTGAAAATATACGTCACAGAAAGAATATCCAATCGGTGCGCGTTTCTCGTACACCCGTGTGTACAATTGCGCGATGGGCACTCAACTCTCTCGTACACCCGTGTGTACGCGAGAGGATATTCACAACAATTGAATATTTATTTAAACTCTATCTGTAAGGGAATTTAGAACAAAAGCGCTATGAGCGGAGACTGTTTGTTCCGGTAAAACAGATACCCAAGCAATCTCCTTCGAAGTTACAAGATATTCCTAACAAATCCATTTTTGAGTGAAAGCCACATAAATTGGATTTGTTGAGTAACATCTTAAGTTTCATCCTGTATATCGGCTACAAAATAAAGGAGAATTGAGAGGAAATTCAATGTAGGACTTCGATACGGTGTTGCGTTTAAATGGATCATTCGTTGAAGTAAATAAATAACTCGAAAGATCCGGAAATCTAGAAGAAATCCGAGGGAATTTCAGACAACATTACAGTGCTCAAAAAACCCAAAGTCGGTTAATATAATTTGTGAATATCTTTTTGGCTCGGCCTAAACGATCACCGAATGGGCCAGAAGCCTGCAGCATATACAATGTTGTATAGCAGGGCGCGTAAATATAGACAAGGAATTATATTTACGAAATTTACAAGTAAATTCCCCAAGAAAATTATTAAAGATTATACCACGAGTAACACCACGGCCTCACAGAAACTGACCTGATACAATGCTTGCGTTGTGTTTCGTCGTGTGAGTGAGGTTACCGGAGGCCCAATTACCCCTCCTCCCTCCCCAGTCTCCCCAATCTCCGAATCTTTCACAATCCTCAAATTTCCAAATGCCGATAACGCACTTGCAACGCCTTAGTGTTCCAGGTGACCATGGGCGGTGCCGATTGCTTACCATCAGGTGATCCGTCTGCTCGTTTACCGGCTTATGCCATAAAGAAAAATTACCACGAAGTAATTTTATTCGAAGAACCATTGTAAATTACTACGTTTAGAGCCATTCTAGTATTATCCCTACTAAGGTATCAAGTTCTGTAATGACCCAGAAATTGAATTTACGCCTCCATATTCTACATCCCTTCTAACAAACTAACAAGGCGATCAATTGCCTTCCTAATCCCTTTTGAGTCAAAATCAAAACCATTTGCTGAAAATTGGATTCCCAAACGACTGAAACCACTTACATTGCGTTAGACAGTCGCTCTGGGACAGACTGTAAACTGGAACTCGATTTTGAACATTAAAAACTTTTAGGATTTGTAAAAAAAAATAGGCGCTTCGGAAAGAGGTCTGAAGGTAGGTATCATTGTTCCCATGGGATTGTAACAGTTAGATGGCATCCCTTCGTTTTAAAATTGAGATTTATTGTTCTTTTGTTATAAAAATAAATTCTTGAATAGTTATTTAGAGTGTTTTTGTAAATGTCGTGGTGGTTGGAGATTTGGCACTCGAAGCCGAAACGAAACCAGTTAGTGCCAATGTGACTTCCAAGTTATTATGTACTTTATTATTATAAGATTATTTAGACACCAGTGTTATACAGTAAGGGAAAAACTAGGCTTATAATTTCTTTATATGTATAAGTCTGAAAGTATAAGACTGCCTCGTTGGCCGAGTGGTCGCAAGTGCGACTGCCGGGCAAGGGGCCTCGGGTTCGATTCCCGGGTCGGGCAAAAGTATTACTGGGTTTTTCAAAAAATTCCCAGTAGTAGCACGGAGTCTGGAATTGTGCCCGGTATATGGCAATAGGCTCACCCCCTATTACATGGGACTCATAACATAAATAGTGAAAAGTGGGTGTTACATTGTACAGTGGCATAATGTACACCTCTGCCTACCCCTTCGGGGATAAAAGGCGTGATGTTAGATCGGCAACATTGAGTAAATGTGGTAATAGGGTAGATGCCTAATTTTTATTTAAATGTCCGTCTGGTAGATTATTTTATTTTATTTTCTTACAGAAGCAAATACTTTCGACGATATATTGATTTGAAACGTCACTTCTATGTACATTTTATATGTAGAAATTACGTTTTAGCCCCCACTCCTAAACTTCGATTCGTTTTGTCTAAGTATTGTTTTATTATACGACAAAATAAAAAATACGTGTCTAATATTTTTCCATTACCTAACTTACGGATTAATTACATTTTTAATTTTTATACCTTGTCATCATTCTAATTAACGCTCAAACCTTCTACTCAGTGTGAGAAGAGTCTTTGGTCAGCAGTGGCCACTTGTAGGCTGTTGATGATGTTATAAAGCACTCAGAATCAAAAATACATATTACATGAACAATTCTACCTGTCGACTTGTGAACTTATTTAACCACAAAATACGTCACTGATCATCAACAGTCCATGAAAATCATGACATGGTTTCCCATAATCTCTACACCTGACAGACGGGTTGGAGATCGGATAAAAGGTTCATTTTATCAAAACACTGATGACTGCTATCTACCAAATATAAATAACTTACATAGTTTACTTTAGAAAGGCTGAAATTATCTGTACGTTTGAGGGTTGGGCACTGATAGTTGAAATACAGGCAATGCCTAGTTCGACTACAGAAGCTAAAATCATATACCTGTAAAAATATTATAGCCAAAACTATTGTTGATATATTGTATTAAGTGCTTATGAATAAAAAATAAATTATTATTAAAATTAATTATTATAGTTAGGGCCGATTTTGTATCAACAGATAATTCTTAACTATACAATAAAATTGACATTTAACTGTTTATAGTATGGAAGAATCGTCAAATATTCAAAATTGTCATGGCGAATCTAACGGGTTATCGGGGCTCCACTCGAAGTGCAGGAGTAGGATCGGGGTAGTTTTTAGTCAGTAAGAGTCTGACACTCCCTCCCGCCTCACCCGGGTGGGAGCAGTAATTCAATGATTTTCCCCCCTTAAAAAAATTTATTCAAAATTACATGCATACATAAGCTCCTCACGCCTGTGAACCAATGGTAGGTAGAGACTATAGAACGCTAATTGCTACGATTCCTACATACGTCTTTCGCTTCATCAACAGTCATCAGACTTTTCATGCAAGCTCGTCGGTTAACGGTACTATTAATATTCAGAATTATACCGCTAATAAAATTTTTGCCATTTTAAAAATTCAGCCCTTAATCAGCTCTAGTCTCTCTCTCTACCCACGGAAAGAGTAGAGTTAGTGATAAACGAAATCGAATCTATCGTCTCTATAATATTATGTATAAACACGTTATAATCAAATACTAAAATCATATCTAAATATAAAGATCACTCGAAATTTCGACTTTGATT